TTAAAAGTGTTATCATTGATAATATTTATTATATTAATTTCATCAAGTTTAATATTAATACATTATTTCACTAAAATTATATGCAATGATTTCAAATTATATATTTATAAAATATGTTTCTTTAATATTTTCCTTGTGATAACCTCCGGTTACATTAGTATAAAACAATCAGAATTTTTATATCATAATTATTCCGATAAGACGCAGGTTGTATAGATAATATAGCGGATATAATAAAGTTTTTATAGGTTCGTATTCTTTTTTTTCCTATTATTTTTCGTTTAATTGTATTCATGGCTTATTTAACCAAAATAATACCTCATAAATATACCCTAAGCTGTACCATTTACTACTAATTTTAATAAATACTACTTTTTTTCTTGATTTGCCCTCCTGAAATTAGGGTGCGTCTTTACACCCGTGCGTTTTAAATACCGTTAAATACGGTATTTAATACACGTACGGATGGTAGATTTGTAAATGTTCCTCATGGATTCTGACAAGGAGATTTTTTTTCTGGCACGACACAGTGGCCCAAGTTTCCTTGCAGTAGATAAAACTATTGATTCAATGTAGTCACTTTCCTTTCGATATCCAGTCCGTTTGGGAATGATTACGTTGCCGTTTGGGAATGATTACGTTGGCCGGCTGAATGTCCCCTTGAGATCGTCTTAAATTCCACTTATAACAAGGAAGACAATCACCTGCTTCATCCCTATACAATAATCTATTCGATAATTTGTTCAAATATTACAAATGTTTCTTTTGACATGTCTCAAAGTGTTCAAGGTTAAAGTCTTAAGCACGTGCTGCTTGGAGCTCTTCTGAAGGAAATATTTTCTCATTACTATTCATTGTCTTAATAAGGCTCACATGCTAACTGTTGATTACAACTATATTTTGATAGGTCGATTTTAAATTCCAATTTTGTGTGCAGTGAGCAGTGAATAACTTTCATTTCCCTCAAAGCAAGGAGATAAGGACACTAAGGTTCAATTTGTTACTGAGAACGAAAGAGAACGAGAAGAGATGAGGGGAAAGGACAATAAAAGAAAAGGGTTCAATACACAGAAGATGGTGATTGACGTTGATTTTAAATTTCGGAACATCGTAGGTCAGCAAGAAACCAGAAGAGAGTTCCACAGCTGAGAAGTGCAATTAAATAAGATATTAGTAAAGAACTTACGGTTACATCAAGTTATTTCAATAGAGAAACGATGAGACCTAATTGCCAATCTAGTAGCGCTCTTGAATTCACGAGGTGTTAAATTTATGCAAATAGCACTATTAATATTAGAGATGAAGACAAGAGATACTACACTTTGATTCTAGTGGTCAGAGAATGAGGGAAAGCGTAAATCGATTTGCACTGGCTGATAAGTCAATGAATCGTAAATATCACCCTGATAATTAAACGGCAGTCATTACCTCTGTCATTAAAAATAAGTGAACAGATACAACCCTTTGATCCCAGTCGGATAGCTAGAGAGTAAAGAAAAGCTTGTATCGAGTAGATATGGCTTCTCAGACAATGAATGCCAAATATTTCCTTATAAGGAGATGGCTAATATTACGATTACCAAAACAGATGAGAACAGTTATTACACTCTTATCCCAACACGATGGATAGAGAGTGCAGAAAAGCATATATCGAGTAGATATGGCCTGTCGTTCAATTAATGTAAAATATTTCCTTATAAGGAGACGGCTAATATTATGATTACTAGGAAAGACGAGAACAGATACTACACTCTGATCCCAACACGATGGTTACAGAGTGAAGAAAAGCATATATCGATTAGATATGGCTTCTCGGATAATGAATGCCAAATATTTCCTTATAAGGCGATGGCTAGTATTATAATTACCATGAGAGACGAGAACAGATACTACACTCTGATCCCAACACGATGGTTAGAGAGTGAAGAAAAGCAGATATAGAGTAGATATGCCTTCTCGGTCAATGAATGCGAAATATTTCCTTATAAGGAGACAAGTAATATGATTACCATAAGAGATGAGAACAGATACTACACTTTGATCTCACCATGATGGCTAGGGAATAAAGAAAATCGTAAATCGAGTAGCAATGTCTTCTTCAAATGAATGCCAAATATTTCTTTATAAAGAAACGGCTATTATTACATTTACAATTTGGTGTGATGAGTCGTAAATAATAGATTATTTGCAGAAAAATTCATAATAAATTTCCTTGCAATTTAAGCACGCTTAAATCTACATTTCCACGCGCGGGTGTTTTCTTTGCTGAAGGTATTCTATTCATTTCCCGGTTTTCTCAGCTTCGCTTTGAAACTATCCTAAACTTCTAGACATATTCAGGCACCGAGTTCTCTTCTTCGTTTCGTTTTCCCATTCAACAATAACAACAATAGTTTGATTAAAGTTTAAGAAGCTGCCGTCCAGTGGCGCTAATGTTGACTGATGCATGAACGTAATATCAAACAGTACGTGACGGCCATCTTGTTTTGGTGTTTGACTGATTACAAAGCCTCGGCCCATCGAGAGTTTGCGTTCCGAGAATTCGTGGTCACAATGCATCGTGTGGACATGGAACATGGCTTGAATGGCAAACAGAGGTCAGAACTTAGATCACTCTAGGTCACGTCCGTCAAACGAAACTAATAGGATATACATCAGCATTAGGATATTTATACAAACATATATAAAGAGTTACGCCCTGATTTAGTTTAAAAAAAGTCTTCTGTCTTTGCAACCGTTGAGTTTAAGAGAGTTGGGTCAATATGAAATGGGTGACCGGGTAGGAATTCATAATTTGCGTGAAATAAATGGAGATTTTTACTTATTGGTTTATCCAAGGTTGGTGTTTTCATCAGATAATCTCAAATGTATTCTACAGATGCCTGACATATTAGCAATCATTTACATGCAAAACGATTTGACTAACACATTTGTGTAGATTTTAATTGTTTTTATATCACCATTGCAATAAGATACAGCTATTGCGATAGAGCTCTTGCATATTTTCAAATAATATTTAGCAAATAAATGGCTCAAGAGCCACTCAAGATAGAGGGTTATTAAATTAGATTATATAAATTAGATTATTATATAGGGAGAACTAAGTGCAGATTATGAGTATGTATAAGAAAGATAGATATTTATATTAGTTACATTTGGACTATTTCCGATATCTACAGTTTCTGCTGTTGTTATCACCACATTTCGGCTATTGTGCCCTTCGGCCTTGATCAGGGAGTTCCGAAATGAACCAGTTATCTAATCTACAAGAGGAGACTATTTCTTCCTTTTAATTAATTCTTAGTTATTAATTAGGCTGCTTCTACTGAATACAAGTAAACACTGACCGACCCAGGGATTGAACTCGCAGATACGATGTCACTAAATTCACGAATCAACACTTTAATCCCCTAAGCTCTTGTCCTACGTGATAATACTAGACGAGATATCCCTAGACATGGGCAGTAGAACGAGAACAGACTACTCCCGTAGATTAAATAAAGGGGTCAGTTTGAAATCCCATGTAAGTTATTTATCGATGTACACTTGATGAAGGTTGTAAGACACAACGGTCGAAACATTGCAATAGCAACAAAAAGGTTGAGGAAAATAGTCGAAATCTAAATTGTTTAAATAATGATAACTCCTTAGCCAAGACATTGAGGTAGAAATCATATATAAATATTTAAATTAATTATTTCAGAGTCATTTTTAATTCTAGTTAAAATAAGATACACAGCTAGTCTGAAATTATTATGCAAATCAAATAAACTTAAATAACTAACAAATTTCTAAACAAATATCAAATTTAAATTGATTTATTTCTACCCATAGTAAACGCGTGTAACTTACTCTATTTGAGTAGGTTCACGTTTTTTTATCATCTCTCAGCTGCGTCTCTGTTTTGGGCAGAGTGCACTCAGGGGCGACTCCGTCAAAGGACAGAGTCGCAACTGAGGAAAATTATACTGAGGAGGTGCCAAGCCCTGGGGAACAGCTGCCCGAGGCCGCCCCCTCCCATTGAACCAGAGGTGGAGATCTGTTTTTGTTCCTTGCCCGGGTGTACGCGCTCGGGTTCCCCACATTAAACCGACCTTGTGTCACAACCTGACCTCGTGGGGGGGGGTTGAGTAAATATCTACTCTTTTTGAGTAAGTTCACATTTGCTTATCCTCTCTCAGCTGCGTCTCTATCTTTGGACAGAGTGCGCTCAGGGGCTTCTCTGTCAAAGGACAGAGGGGCAACTGAGAAAATCATGCTGAGAGGTGCTCAGACCTGGGGAACAGCTGCCCGAGGCCGCGCCCTCCCATTGCACCAGAGGGAGGGATCGGTGCTCGCACCGAGGCTAGCGCAACCGACGGTTGCGGGGGATGAGGGGAATTTTTGTTCCTGTCCCCACCTAAAAACAAACCTTCTGTCAGATTTCGCCCTATTGGGGAGGGCCAGAGCAAATATTTAACCTTAGTAAAATATTTGATTAAGCTTTCTGCCATTTTTAACGGTTAGTTTTTGAGTTATATGGAATTTATGAAACTAATATTAGCGTAAGACCAGTAAAATTTAATAAGATCTACTTTGACTTTTTGTTCATAATATATGCGGTAAAATGAGTAAAAAGGAAGGATCTAACACCTGCTGAAAGATAGAAAATCACAAAGTTATTGAGTGAAGGAATTTCAACACTGGAGCTTTGCAGAGATCATCAGGCGATGAAGAAGGCTGTTGAAAATCTCTATGTTCATATCTCTCTCTATATATATATCACGTTCTCTTCATAGCGATCTATTTCAGTCTGTTTATATCTATCTATCTATCTCTACATATAAATCTATGTATTTCAGTCTATTCATATTTATTTCTCTTAATATCAATCTATTTTAGTCTGTTTATATCTAATTCTGTTTCTTTCTATCTATTTATCTATCTCTATATCACTTTCTCTACATATCGATCTAATTCAGTGTATTCATATCTATTTCTCTTCATATCAAATATTTTAGATTTTTCTATCTATCTATCTATTTATCTATCTATCTATCTATCTATCTATCTATGTTTCTTTCTTTCTATCTATCTATCTATCTATCTATCTATCTATCTACAGTCTGTCTGAAGTTATTATGCATATAAGATAAACCTAAAATCTGAAAAATTTCTTAAACAATATTTGTTAAATTTAAATAGGTCCATTTTCACCATTAGTAAAATATTTAACTAAATTTTCTACCATTTGTAATGGTTCGATTTTGATATATTTGGAGTTTACGAAAATTGACTCAATGAAGTTAGTATGCACATTAAACTAATATTAGCTGAAGTCCTCTTAAATTTAATAAAAACTATTTTTTCTTTTTGCCCATAATATGTTGGAATATGGGTAAAGGGAAGAATCTAACAACTGCTGAAAAACAGAAACTAACAAAGATATTGACTGAGGAAATGTCAACATTGAAGATATCAAAAGAGCTTTGCAGAGATCCTCAAACGATAAAAAGGCTGTTGAAAATATAAGTAAGTTGAGAACTCGAAGCAAAATCTTTAAGATGTTGCTTCATCGAGATGAACAAAGCAATTTATAGGAAAACAACCATTTTGAATCAGCTCTTGGATCTTTGAAAAAGTTGAAAATGAAGGAGTCAAGAAAGACAAAAGGTGTAGTATACTTTGTAAATTAGGATCTGTGAAAATTCTCTCAAGCAATCTCCTCTCACTAAAGAAAATATTTTAAACAGTCAAAACTGGGCCAAGAAATACATGAAAATTGAATTTTCGCGGACGAATCTTGAATGACATTTGGCGGTCTTGATGGGTGGGCTAAAGAATGGATTTCTTCGAATTCAGACAAGCTTGTAGCTAAAAGAAGGTAACAAGGAGGCGGTAGTGTTATTATATGGCCTTCAAGTGTCGACCAAACCATTATTAGATCATTCAAAGTCGACGAAGGGCGTAAACTGAAGAGTGCTAACTACTGCTATTTTTTTTGCGGTACAAGACCCAGCCACGCAGTTTCAAAATGAAGTGTGTATTTATGCACGACAATGCTGCTTCTCATGTATCTAAGCTTACCCTTGAATTCTTTGAGCATAAAAAATTTACAGAATAGAAGATAATGGAATAGCCACCATCAAGTCCTGATCAGAATCCTATCAAAAATCTATGCTCAATTGTGAAAATTATATGAAGGTAGCAAAGAATATAACAGTAAAGAAGACCTCTGGGAAGCAATTAAAACTACCATTGCAGAAATTGAACTTGCTGAAGTAAAAAACTAACAAATCAATGGATAGTAGATTACTAGCTGCTATTGAGAAAAAGGGTCACTATATTAAAATGTAAATGATACAAAGACTTATCATATGTGTTTGTTATTTGTTCTGTTATAAGTGTTGATCAATTTTTGATGATTTTATTAGATTTCAGTATCTCTATCTATAAAAGCAGGATGTGTGTGTGTGTGTGTAACGAATGCATGGCCGCAATTTTCGACGGATTTGCACCAAAATTTACATGCACATGCTCCAATTAAGTAGGAAGGCCAAGACCGACTTTGCATTTCCCAACTCCCATCGATAGTGGAAATAATCGATTTTTTCATTCCTCAACGGCAGTTTTCATATAGTTTGCGGCCATTTTCTACTGGCCAGAGTGAGAGCCTATAACTGGCTGCCACATATAGGCAGGAAGATTCTATTGGCCAGCGTGAGACTGACACGAATATTAACTAGCATGCTAGCATGCATAAAAAATCGATAACTGCATTCGTCACAAGTGGTAAAAATTTAAATCTGCATGGCACTTTACTCCAATTGGCTCATTCGCTTACTTAAACTCAACGTTGATTCTGATTCCGCAGAACTGGGTTGGGTGTGAAAAAGTATTGTTGTTAACATTCTTTTTTCATTAGTTTTTTCCAGTTACGAGTCCTTTTTTTTAAAGCTGATCGTTTTGTGTTCATTTTCTTTAGTTCTTTTTTTCGTAAAAGATTTAATGTTTAGTATAGAGCTTAGAAAAAATTCGCAGTGTGAGATAGGCAAGAAGTAAGGCATGTAGCAACATCAGCACGGCAAAGGGCACTCCTTTAAAGGCAAGGAAGGGCAAAAATATTTTCAGTCAAGTGATAGCGATTGCTGTATGAGTCGTACGATTTATGAATCAAACACGGGCAACGGTGGGCCATGCTGCTAGTCTGTCTATATTTCTGAGATAAGGTATTATGTACACTATTTACATTATTCGGACTATTTTCCGCATCTTTGTTGCCATATTTATCACAACGTTTCGGTCCTTCAGTATCTGTCTATATTTCTGAGATGATGTATTATGTACACTATTTAAATTATTCGGACTATTGTCCTCATTTGATGCCATATTTATTACAAAGTTTCGGCCTTTCAATATCTGTCTATATTTCTGAAATGAGGTATTATATAAGCTATTTACATTATTCGGGCAATTGTCCATATCTTTATCGCCATATTTACTACTACGTTTCGGCCGTTGTATGCTCCGGCCTTCTTCAGGTGGTTGGAATGTCGAACTGAACCCTTTATTTCACTCAGACTGTTCTAGTTCCACGTGCCATGTTTAATGGATGTCATTTATCAGTTATCTCCTGTTAATTCCCCTCTGAACGTTCTCCACTGCATTACCCGGGTATTGAACTCGCAACTCTATGGGTCCTGTCACTGGATTTAACTAACGTCTTTATCCAATGTGCGATGTGTCCTCAGGGACACATGGCACAGTGGATAAGGGCGTTACTTCAGTTCGACATTCCAACCACCTGAAGAAGGCCAGAACGTAGAACGGCCGAAACGTTTTTATAAATATGGTGACAAAGATGAGCACAAGAGTCCGGATAATGTAAATAGATTATTAGATTTCTATTGAAGTAAAATATGATTATTTGACTTTGACTAATAACTTCAAATGGCAGGTTTTAGAATACATCAACTAACTTCAATAAAACATATTGATGCTGCGTAAAATTTTAACTCGGGATTTGTTTTGACACCTAAATTGATTGTTTATAATTTGATAATTCTTTTTCAAACCAAATTTGAATTATTGAGGGTTTATATGATTTGCTTAATAACTTCAGACAGGGTGTATATAGAATTCGGTTGCAATTTATAAAATGGGATACTCTTAATAGTATTGACAGAAATTTCCTTCCTAACCTTTTGTTTAATGTCGTGTGGAAAGTCAACGTCGTGTTTCTATCATTATTTTCCTTTCTCGATATATGTCGTAATCGTTTTAGATATTGCTATTTTTAGAACTCTTTAAGTGCTGTGCTTTTTTTCTTCAGTAAATTCTTCGTGATTCTGTAGCGTCAGTCCATGATATCTGACGGAGTATTGTCTTGTTTTTGACCCATAGCGTTCCTTCGCCTGATGCCATCTTTGATCAATTAACTGCCAATTTTTTTAATGCGCATTTTTAGCCCAGACAGGTGTCTTAGGAGTTTATTTATTCCTTATGTTTACTTTCAGTAGTTACCATTATGGTTTTTATAGAAACTAGAACAGCAAATATATATGTGTATAAAACATCAAAAAATAATATTGATTAGAAATAATAAAAAAATACATTTCAAAATAGTCGTTATTTTTCTACTTGTGAAATCTAAAATTGTCTTCTTACGGCTAATAATAAAATCTTTAAAGGCTAAGTATTGTAAAATATACCTCTGCAAATGCAATGTATGTAAGCAATTTAATGTAAATACAAGGAATAAAATGTAGTGAGTTTAATTTTAACACATCCTCAAATGGGGCTCATAGCAGGTAATGGCTTAATCATTGGTCTGTAAAATCAGTTTTATATAATTGATAATTTAGACTATTTTAAACGAGGTGAATACAATTCATGAAATAAATAATATCGTACCGGATGACTATGTGATATCCATTTACTTATATGGATGAGGGGAGAACTAGTATTAAATAATAGTTTAGCATACTATTATATTTAGGGGAAGTGTATCTCGGTTTCGACTTCAGGGGGTTGGCATTCGGGGTGAGATGTGAGCCATAATAGGGAAAGTTTTGATTGGCTGAGCTAGCGTCGGAAAGATAGATAGGAGAAAATTTTCTGCGAGTTGGTTCTTACTCGTCAAGCGATGTAGACGTGTTCTTTTTCGTGTCCGAAACGGCTCCCCGTTGAGGGGAACGAGCCTCAATGGATGAGTAAGAAATATAGTTAAATTAAAATTCTCTGTGTTTGAAGTCTTCCATTGATATTCTGCAGAAGGATTATGTGAATTCCATAGCTTGAGTAAGAAACAAGGAAGTATAAAAGAAAATTGCAAGAAAGGGGACAGTTTTGCTCAGAATAAGAATTCCTTGGACACAGAGTGAAAAAAGAGGCCTTGGAAAACTTAAACTTGTAAGGGCATACACAGTGCAAGAGAGGTAGTTTATGCAGCGGTTAGTCTACCCGACAGACTGACGGATAAAGACATGGCAGAAAACAGCGTCATTAACCCTAGAACACTAACCATAAGTATATAATACCCAGTGCAAAATTTCCTATTTTTAATTACAATTTGTATTACCTGATTTTCTTATCTAAATAATGTTTTTCAGTTCTTATTAATGTTAACTCAATGTACAAAGTTTAAAGTGCCTGGATGTAAAATATTTCAAATAAAGATTTATATTTAATATTTTTTTTGATATTTTCAAAATCGGGTATGATATACCCATGGTTAGTAGTGGGGTAACTTTAATTGATCGTTAGTGTTCTAGGGTTAATCACAATAAATAAAAAAACAGTCCCCCATTTCATGTCCAGTATAATCTTTCATTAATACAACAAATGGCATTAATTTTTGTGTAGAAATTATATGGGGGACCAGTTTGTTACTTCATAGCAATATAAATATGATCCCCCACTTTATATTCACTATAATCTTTAATACTACTTTCCAAATGTAAATTGTTGTGTAGCAATTAATTCGGGGATCAGTTTGTTACATAACCCTAGAACACTAACCATGAGCATATAGTACCCGGCTCAAATTTTCCTATTTTAATTACAATTTTCAGTACCTGATTTTCTTACCTAAATAATGTTTTCCAGTTCCTATTAATGTTAACTCAAAGTACAATGTTTGAAGTGCCTGCATGTAAAATATTTCAAATAATGATTTATATTTAATATAATTTTTTTTTTAATATTTTCAAAATCGGGTATGATATACCCAGGGTTAGTAGTGGGGTAACTTTAATTGATGTTTAGTTTTCTAGGGTTAAAGTGAGAAAACTGCTAAGAGCCAAAAGCGACAGATTTTTTTTTTTTTAAGGAGCTACGAAAACCCATGTCCTGCAGGGACGCGTTAGATAAAAGAAGATATGTTTTATAACCGTACCAAATGTATTTCTGCGAAATTGAATGTAATGATGCCGACTGGAATTCGAACTCTGCACGCCGATTTCATCATCCGAATCGCTAACCACTGCACTCCGTGTTTTCTCATCCGAAGGTGTTTCATTGTTTCGAAATTTCTTAAGGGTTGCGCTAGCAAGCACGATCTTTCTAATTTCCCCCAGGTAATCGACACACAACATCAGGCATCAACATGAATTTTTCTAAGACTTCATATCTTTTATGTTTCACAGATTAAGAATTAAGATAAAAAAGACATTAGAGAAGATATTAACAAACAGAGAAGAAGGAAAAGAAGACGCCAGGAAACAGAGTTCACCTCGGACAAATTTGTAAGGCTTTTTTTTATTTTCTTTGCAATTTGGTAGTCAAAACATACTCAATGGTTGGCACCACTTTATCAAAAAAAAGAAAGTAAAAAGAAAAGAGAAAACAAAGAACATCAAAAATAGCAAAGTTTTCGGAAACTTTGCCACTAATTTTTTCCCATATTCACCCTCGGTTCGTCGAAGAGAACAGAATTTCGTGACTTTGTCAAAAAAATTTACAATGCTTTTTAGCAAACCAAAAACAATTCCATTACTAAGCCTCGCATATTACAAGTGACACTAACAAGTGTCGATTTCATTTACTTCCTGCCGTCGATCTTCATCTGTTTTCACTCGTTTTCGAAAGCATGTCGAATTCTAAATGCAAAGGCAATTAATATTACTTTCACTTGGCTAAGCTATTGCAGTGCGTTTAGATCTATCTATCTATCTATCTATCTATCTATCTATCTATCTATCTATCTATCTATCTATCTGTTTCAGTGTGTGCCTTATCTATCTATCTATCTATCTATCTATCTATCTATCTATCTATCTATCTATCTGTTTCAGTGTGTGCCTTATCTATCTATCTATCTATCTATCTATCTATCTATCTATCTATCTGCTTGTCTGTCTGTCTGTCCTTCTATCTATCTATGTCTATTTCTATCTATTGCGATCAATCTATTTGTACCCATCTTTCAAGTGCGATGTGTACAGATCTATCTATCTATCTATCTCGATCTGTTCTTTATCTATCTATCTATCTATCTATCTATCTATCTATCTTATTCTATTTATTATCTATCTCAGTGTGTGCCTTATCTATCTATCTATCTATCTATCTATCTATCTATGTCTATTCCTATCTATTTCTCTATTGCGATCAATCTATTTGTACCCATCTTTCAAGTGCGATGTGTACAGATCTATCTATCTATCTATCTATCTATCTATCTATCTATCTATCTATCTATCTATCTATCCGAATATATTTTGACAGCGTAACGGCTACCAACGTGTGCATTCATCAAGGCTCAAATTCTTAAGTAATCTTTTTCAGACTCTTTCGTACATATACCGTGCAAAAAATTATGCAGTCATCTATTCATCCCTGACGCATGTGTAAAACAACAGAATATACATATTTCTCTCCCCTTGATTTGCTATTTGACTTAGGAGAATGAATACTCTGGATTCAAAACGGTGGGGGTGGGGGAAGCGTCGGAAAAGCACCCCCACTACCCCCAACCATTAAGACGTATCAAGTCAGATTATAAACAAGGGAATATTTATAGAATCATGATCATTTGCATGCCCAACAGGAAAGAACATAAATAATCTGTTTCATTCTTTCTTTCTCTGTTCTTATCTATTTCAGTTGGTATATATCTATATTTATTTGTTTCATCTGTTCTAACCCTCACGGCTAAGACCTGTCATGCTACGCACATTATAGCGATTCAGGTTCATTCTTTTCTTACTCCATTGGCGAGATGTAATTTCCATTCAAGCAGGTTCTTCCCACGAACCGCTGCTTTAAGGAACAGACAACAAACTGGATAATTCCCCGATCACTATAAACGTGTCCATTTTAACTCTGGGATCAAACGTTATCTTCCCCATGTAGCACCATAAAATATGCCTCTTCCTGTGTTTTTACGGCTTGTACCACGTATATACTATTGTAAAATGTCCAAATAATAAGGTTTTAATATGTGTTAATCAAACAACGAAAAATATTTTATATCTATCTATCTATCTATCACAGTATATATTGGTTTGTCTTGTTTTGGTTTACGGATATCAACCACAATAGGTTATTTAATGCCGACAAGATTATCATTGTTGATAATATTTTTTTATCTATCTATCTATCTATCTATCTATCTATCTATCTATCTATCTATCTATCTCAGTGTATATTGGTTTGTCTTGCTTTGTTTTACGACATATCAACCTCAATGGGTTATTTAATGCCAACAAGATTATTATTGTTAATAATATATTTTTATCTATCTATCTATCTATCTATTACAAGAACAGCTATATTATTTATTCTGATTAACACGATCATCTATCTATCTATCTATCTATCTATCTATCTATCTATCTATCTATATATATAATTGTATTAATTCATATCTATATATCTATCTAACTATATATATATATAACTGTTTATCAATTCATATCTATCTATCTATCTATCTATATATATATATATATATATATATTAATTTATATCTATCTATCTATCTATCTATCTATCTATCTATCTATCTATCTATCTATCTATTACAAGAACAGGTATACTATTTATCCAGATTAACACGATCAACTGATTTTAGACCTGTCTGTCTGTCTGTCTATCTATCTATCTATCTATCTATCTGTTTATTAATTCATATCTATCTATCTAGCAATCGATCTTTCTATCTATTAATTCATATCTACGGATAGGCAATGTAATTGGCCCTGATCTGGCATCTTGTCTGCAGTCGCTCTTTCATAAACGCGCCGTCGCCTCTCTCTGTCTTTTTTACAAATACTTTCACGGTAACTACTCCGAGGAGCTGCTTTCGCTGGTTCCCAAACTTCATGAATTTAAGCGTTCTAATAGGCTGACATCTTGCTCACACCCTTTCACTGTCGAAACTTAAATGTAGCCGTCTCTTCTACTCCAATAGCTTCAAATCTAGAACCTCTCAGCTGTGGAACTCCCTCTCCTTTTCCTGTTTCTCTAATACCTATAATCTCCAACTATTCAAATGTAATGTCAATCGACGTCTCCAGATGCCTTGATCTATCTCCTATCCTTCTGTTCATTCTTTCCTCTATCACTCCTATTTACTCTAGCTCCAACTCTCTGTAACCTCTTGCGTGCTAGTGGCTTCCCACCTTGCTTGGGGTGAAACGCTTAAAAAATCTATCTATCTATCTATCTATCTATCTATCTATTTACTAATTCATGTCTCTCTTTGTTTCTATATATTTACTTTCTAAAGTACGAACCTTTTTTGTTGCTGGTGTTGTTTATTCATATTTAAGTTGTTTTTTTTTTTCGCGCTGCCTACTGAGAACACAAAACTCAATTAATATTTAACTTATTTAGGTTCTAACATTTATCCTCATCTTGGTTGTTTTTATCAGAATGTTCCGTCGTTTTGAACCCCAGCCTTCATCATGTGCTCTATCCGAATAACCCTCAGTGAATATCGCAATGAACCATTTATTTAATCTACTGAAGCAACGCGTTCTCTTTTCCGTAACCAGATATCTCTTATAGTTCTTATTAAGGGATGTGGCGTCCGTCGGCCTCAAGGGTCAATGTTTCTTCACCCAAAGAGGTCTACCTCAGCTGCTAATGGTGACATAGCAACTGTTATGTCTGTAAACACCAACATGGGAATGACAGGCGTGGTTGATTGAATGTATGGGAAGACGCTGTCCTTGTGTTGTTTTCTTTCCTTCGAGCACGTTTCTCCCCAGCCACAAGATTTCGTTTCTTCTCTCCTTGCCTCAGCCCTCGGTATAAATGACGTCTCCAGCATGAGCGATCGTTGGCGACGTTTTTCCACCACTCGATGTCCATCGCTTTCATCTCCCTTTTGCAGACGTCCTTGAAACGAAGATAACGTCGATCTAGTCCCCCCCCCCTGCCAGCTGCTTTTCTCCGTCGCGATCAAGTGTCCTCTCCAGGGCGCATGCCTGGGTAGATCGTGAAAAATCGTCGGTGTATGTTTATAAACAGTAATTCGGACTGTCTACCCGCCGCTTTTTGTGGAAGAATAATTAACAGAACATCAGATCAAATAGCGGTTTTCATGAAGTTTACACCTTCGATTTCGTCGGAGACTGCATTTTTTCTCGAACATTCAGGCCGGTAAGCATAATTAATAATATTCAATATGCATATATATATATATATATATATATATATATATATATATATATGAAGAAAAATATACGGAAAAACAAACAAAAATCCTAATATGCAATTATGCTGTTTTAATGTTAATATAATGTCAACGTCGGACGTTTCTGTCTAGTCGACCATCTTCAGGACATATTCATAAAACATAATTAACATTAGACTATATTTAATTCAACATGAAAAGACGATGGACATAAGAGTAAGACTAATCAAAACAGATAACTGAAGTTTTTTCAAGATCAGCGTTCCGTTTCAATATGATCCAAGGCAAAAAACGAAATGAATTTATTTAAACAAATTAATTATTAATAACAAAACAAAATGTCCTTAGCAACTGGAAGAATTTAGAGAATATTATTATTTTCATACTGTTAACTGAAAATTACATCAATTACTGTCACGTATGGAGATATTGTTTTTTATTTCTGTGTTGACGGATTCAACCATTTACTTTTAATTTCTTGATACTGTTGTGTTCGTTTGTTTCGGAGAGTAGTAATTCTTTTAAGAAAGGTGAAATAGGGAAAAAGCTTGGGCGTAGATTAATATTTGGATAATATTCAATGGCGGCACTCTCGAGGATTTTTCTTCCGAGTGAGTTATTTTCTTTTTTATGCGTTTAGATCCATCAAGAGAGCTCGTTGTATTTATATACAGAACAAGATGATATATGTCTTCAATAATCGCAGAATCCAAGTTCAGAGAAAATCTTAATGCCACACACCTACTGGTTGACAACAATTTACGAAGTCAGGAGTTAAGAATGTATAATTACAGGCCTTAATTTCTGCGATGACTAATAGAAATATTTACTTTAAGTATATTTGTACTATTGTCCTTATCTTTGTTGCCATTATAAAATATTTCGACCAATGTTCCCGACGATTATCATTTGCTTGTTACCCGCACAACCTTTATTTTCAACCTTGTGCAAATTAATTGAAACAAAACGAATAATTCAGTTATTATTAATTTTTTCGTATTTTTCCAATGAAACAGGACCTAGTGCACATGTTAGTAGTTCGTATGTACATTCCACGAAGTCGTTCCTTGCAGATTGACCACAGATTCTCAATTGGATTTAAATCGGGAGAAATTCCGGTCCAATCTATAGTACTTTGAATTGCTCTCTGGTTACACTTTTCGTAGGCTTGCTTGGAGTAACATCCTGGGCCGTGTGACAACTAATTGACAGTCGAGACAATAGTGTCTAGACGTGATAAAAATCTGATGCAATCATAGATAACACAATATTTTTCAAGTCCAAACAAGTTTCATTATTCACCCCGAAAATAGATTCATATTACTGCACACCACTGCAAATGAGCTAAACAGAGGACAAAATCGAAATCGATAATACTCTGTTAGAAGAAGGGTTCTAAAGCAGACCGTATTATGAAAGAAAGAAACTAAAGCGGTTGTTTCAATTAATTTGCACAAGGGGGTATATAAGCCTGGTCGTTTCGTCACACCACTTGGGTTCTATTAATGACCTTGGTTTCCTCATTTTCGAAAACGGCTATAGGCCTCGGATCTCACCTCTTGAGTGCTTTTCATCTTTGAAAATCAAATCTCAATTGAAAGGAACACAGTTTCCTGACATACAGGAAATCCAAGAGAATGCGATGATGCAGCTGATCGCTATCCCTTAAGAAACATCCCAATGGTGCTTTCTTTATTGAAAACAAACCTCGATTAAGTGTATGAATTCTGAAGGTTATTAACCCTTTAAGCCCAGACCACCACATTACCGTTGGTAGAGAAAAATGGCGTAACGCCCAGCCAGCGGTTAAACAGTGGTAGAGAAAATTAACTTAATGCCCAGCTACCGGTTGAACGGTGGGTAAATAGTTTTAACTATTTTCTCTCTCTCTCTCTCTTTCAATATATATATATATATATATATATATATATATAACGCCCAGCCAGCGATTAAACAGTGGTAGAGAAAATAACTTAATGCCCAGCTACCGGTTGAACGGTGGGTAAACAACCGGTAGCTGGGCATTAAGTTATTTTTCTACCACTGTTTAACTTGGCTTATATATATATATATATATATATATATATATATATATATATATATATATATATATATATATATATTTAGTTGGATAGATGTGAGTTTATGACCCTGGGTTTCACGCTTTAGCGATCGTCAGACAAACTGATTAATGTTTAAAAAACTTTGGGTTTATTTTTAAAACATTAATCAGTTTGTCTGATTGTCGCTAAAGCGTGAAAAACCCAGGGTCATTTCACATCTATCCAACTAAATATGTTAACTCTATCTCTGATATTGAGCGCTTTCTAATAAGTACCACGCATATAATATATAAATAATTATACATATATATATTTATTTATATTTATATACACTTTTCACACAAACACACACACACACACACACACACACACACACACACACACACACACACACACACACACACATATATATATATATGCGAGTTGTTGACACTAATTAGGTTGTTCTGACGTAATTTTCGTTGCCAATTTTCACAACGTTTCAGCCGTTGTATACTCCTGCCTTCTTCAGGTGATTGGAATTTTCGAAGTAGAAGTAATCCATAGACTGGAGCCAAAGGGTTTTAAGTTCAATGCCAGGCTAAGACAGAGGTGAACAATAATTTGGACAGTTGAGTTAAAGGGAAATAACTGATAGTGAGATATCTGTAAGAGGCATGGCATGTGGAACTAGAACAATCTACGCCGATGGATGAGACATGCCGTAATGACCAGCTGCCGGTTGAACAGTGGTAGAGAAAAATTACTTCATGCTCAGCTACTGGTTGAACGGTGGGTAAACACTTATAACTGTTTTTTTTTTATCTAACGTGAAACATTACATACTAATTATTTACGAATTTTGACTCAGGAGCTCAGGCAGATGGGCTCAAAGGTTTAGAAGTCTAAATGTTTGCAATTTTTTTTTCTTTTTTATAGCACAAGTCCCGATACTTTTTGATCAGACCTCCTATGTGCAGGCCTAAAATAAATCTCAAAATGATAGACAGGTATAGCGGAAATTGGTGATGAGATAGTCTTCCAGTTCTGAGCTTGTGATAGATTAAAACTGATATACTAAATATATGAATTTATTAATGTCTTTGTTTGAATTTACTTGCTTTTAGCAATTCCACTTGCTGGAGCTGGTTTTTAAAAGAATATTTCCCCATCGCTGGTTGGTATCGTTTTCATTCTCATCCGACCAGCCAAAAATCG